AACCACTGAGCTTTTTCTCTAGTCCCCAGTACATGTTTTTCTTTATGCACTTGAATATAACTATTGACATTCCTTTATCCTCTCCTCCTTCCTTTCTGTTGCCTTCCCAGTCCCCCTCCCTCCCTCTCCTTCTCCCTCCCTCTCTCCAGGATCTTTGTAGCTTAGGCAGTCTTTGAGCTTCCTGTGTAGTAAAGGCTGCTCTTGAACTCCTGATCCCCTGCCTTCACCTGGAGGTGCTGGAATTAGTGGCCTTTTAGTACCATACTCAACAGAGAATTTTGATGGGATGCTGGCTATTGTAAATTTTACCTCTACTGTTGTTGTGAATTTTATGCTCAGGATCTAGTTGTTTTTGTTTGTTTGTTTGTTTGTTTTTCAAGACAGGGTTTCTCTGTGTAGCCTTGGCTATCCTGGAACTGACTTTGTAGACCAGGCTGGCCTCAAACTTGCATAGATCTGCCTTCCTGAGTGCTGGGATTAAAGGTGTATGACACCATCACGTGGCAATTTTGTGTATTTTTTAACAAACAAATGATTATGAATTTATTTAGTGTATGTATGTGTTTGTGTGTGTGGAGGTCAGAGGACTTGCAGGAGTCAGTTCTCTCCTTCTACCACGTGGGTTCTAGAAATAGAACTCAGAGTGTCAGGGTTGCTGGCAACCCTTTCCCACCGAGCTCTCCCCGTTGTCCTCTTGTGTGGGGTTTTTGCTTGTTTGTTTGAAACAGGGTCTTGCTATGAGGTTTAGGCTGGCCTTGAACTCAGGATCTGTCTATCTCAGTCTCTTGAATGATAGTATTACAAGTGTGTGGCAACATACTGGGCTGGATTTTGTGGTTGTTAAAGAATGTTGGGCTTTGTTCTGAAGGGGAGGTTGTGATTCCATCAAGTCTTTCTCTTCCTTTTCTTCTTTTTCTTTGCACAAGTGGATTTTTTTGTGCTAGAGTCAAGGCCAGAAGAGGGTATCAGGTATCCTTTTCAATTGCTCTTCCTAGTCTTTTGAAGCCTGGTATCTCTTAGACCTGTTCTGGAAACCAGCAAGCCCCAGTAATCCTCCTGTCTGTCTCTGCCCCTCAGAGCTGGGGTTACAAGTGTGTATGTACCTGGCTTGTTACATGCGTGCTGGAATTCTAACTCTGGTCTTTGTGATTGTACATGTGCTCCTAACCACTGAGACATCTCCCCAGCCCCTCAAGTCCCTCTTTTAAGTTTTGTTAGAGTAGCCTGCTCTGGGGATAACTTGACAGCCCCCCTTCGCCAAGATGAAGACTTTGAGGTGTCTGTGGAATGCCCTGAGTAAGCAGGACACTGTATTTTAACAGCTTGGGGTCCAGAGCTCTGCAAGAAACCTGAGACTGCTTCAGTTCACCGCTTCTTCCTCACCTTTGTTTTTGTTTTTGTTTTTTGAGACAGGGTTTCTCTGTGTAGTTTTGGAGCCTGTCTTGGATCTGGCTCTGTAGACCAGGCTGACCTCGAACTCACAGAGCTCTGCCTGGCTCTGCCTCCCGAGTGCTGGGATTATGGCTCACTTTTTTTCTCCACCTTCCTGTTATTTCACCATGGGTGTGCTCAGATTTTAGTGTTAAACAACGTTTCAAAGGAAACTCCATGTGGATTTCTGGAACTTTTTTTCTGCATAGCTTTCTTTAGAACTCACCCTGCCACTTTCCTCTGTCTTAGCCTTCCTAAAATCTGGTCTCTGACTCCTCAGCACACTAAGACTGCCATGCTATGCTGGGCATCCTCCTCTCTGTCTGAAGTGTGCCCCATGGCAGAAAGCCAGGGTGGTGTAAGGGCACAGATCCTTCGTACTGTTCTGTATCTGTCTCAGGAGCATTCTACTTGCTGGGAGACTAAACCTCTCCCTGTTCCTCCATCTCAGCTGGAAGTAGAGAGCCAAGGGCTGGCCTGGTAGGACTTTTGATCTCTTCCTCTTGAGTGTGTGTTGCGGAATCATTCCCATGGCTGAGGAAACCAAGGCTTAGCTAGGCTGTTAGTGCCCAGTCACTCAGCAGTTAGTGCCCAGGTTTGCACAAACCCTTTCCAGATGCCAACCGCCTCAGAGCATTTGTGGATCGGCTCTTATCTTTCCAGCAGAGGACTGTTCACATAGACTGGCTTAGGACATACGCAGAGTGACACTGACTTACATTCACAGTCTTGGAAGTTTTCCCGTTGCTCAAGTTCATGAACTCTTTTGAGATTGGCCTTTGCTGTGCAGTGATGTGAACACTTGGCAAGCTTCCCAGCAGGGGAAGGTCAGCTCCTCCACAGTAGGGGTGAGGGCACAGCTTTGTCTCTGTTAAACTACAGCATTCCCTCTCTTCCACTGTGCTCTTTTTATTTGTTTTATTTAAAATATTTTCGCCTGTGTGTGTGTGTGTGTGTGTGTGTGTGTGTGTGTACACGTACGTATGTGCATATGCCTGAGCTCACATGCACGTGGAGGTTAGAGGACAGCGTGTGGGAGCTGGTTCTCTCCATTGTGTGGGTTCTGGGGGTTGAACTCAGGTCTTCAGATTTGGTGGCAAATGCTCTTGTTTGCTGAACTGTGTCACTGGTGTTTGCTTTGTCTGGTCAGATAGGCTACATTATTACTTATGGGGTGGCATTAGATTAGATTCAGTTTCTTATTTAAAAAACTGTTTAAGCCAGCCTTGGTAGGGCACACCTTTAATCCCATGCAAAAGAAGGTAAATTTCTGAGTTTGAGGCCAGCCTGGTCTACAGAACTAGTTCCAGGACAGCCAGGGCTACTGTCTACACAGATAAACCCTGTCTTTAAAAAAAAAAAAAAAAAAAAAGAGCATCTATTTATTTATTTATTTATTTATTTATTTATGTGTGTATTAGTATATACCTGTATGTATGCCTGTGAACTACATGTGTCCATGGTGCCCTTGGAGGCCAGAAGAGGACATTGGATCCCCTGGAACTGAAGTTACAGGTGGTTGTGAGACACCATGTGGATGCTGGGAACTGAACCATAGCCCTCTGTAAGAACAGCCAATGCTCTTAACCACTGAGCCATCCATCCAGCCCCTCAGCTCTTCTCTTGTGCCATGTGAGCGTGTAACGGGGAGCCCTGACCTAATCAAGGAAGCCTTAGAAGGAATTCATCCCAGGGAAGTGCCTTGGCTGGCACTGCAGAAGGTTCAAGGGTCTGGGAGGAGAGGAAGGCACAGCCCGTGTTCAGCCCCTGTAAGAAGCAGAAGCCTGTGGCTGCTGTGGCCAAAGCTTGGGAGGTCAGCACCATCTGAGACCTAGATGTGAGGATAAATGTGAGGCTTCTAAGACTGCACCAAGAAGTTTTTTGTTCTCTGAGAACAGTGAGAAGCTATTGATGATGTTGCTTATGGGGGTGGATGAGTAAGTAAGGGAGATGATCGAGTTTTCCTTTATAAATGGTTTACTTTTTGTGTTGTGGAAAGTGAATTGGAAGAGAGCCATCATGAATCCAGGTAAGCTGATTAGAATGCATTTGCAGTGGTCCTGGCAAGTGACTCTGGAAGCTTGGACCAAAGTGATGGCAGGGGAGATAAATAGAAGTAGAGGGTTGATTCCATGGCTGTCCAGAAGGGAAGACAGGCAGGGCGAGATAATGGGTACCTTTTGGGAATAAGGGAGCGGGAGCTCTTGGAGAGGCCTCCAGCAGTACTGGAGGAGGGGTAGTCTCTGGTGGACTTGAAAGGGGAGGCAGGAAAGAGGTCTGGGATCTGACCCAGGGATCTAAATGTGTGAGCCTTTGATGCCTGGGTGCCTGGAGGATGGCAGGGGGAAGAGAAAGGTCACTCGGGTATGAAAACTGACTTCCAATTATAGTTACAAGCTGCCTGGCCTTCTGGTCTTGGGATGGTGGAGCTCTTAGGATAGGACTCTGGATGGAGAGAGGGAGAGGGTCCTTCATCCAGCAGAGGCCTTGGCACTGTGTCGGGTGCCTTTTGTGTGGTGGAGGACGGCTGTGAAGTGAGACAATCTTTAGGGCTCTTCTCTTCCTTCTCCCAGCTTCTGCCCTTTTCATAGGAGGCTAGGTTCAGACTACCTGAACTAGCCAGGAGGGATGGAGGCCAGCTCCTGGAACACACACATTAGGTGCACTTGTTTGGACATTGTCTGCAGATAATCGGCAGTTGACCCTAACATCAGTAACACTGAACTGACCACAGCTCGCTCAGGCAGGAGATTTGTCTCTTCTGGAGATTTGTGTCTTGCTTTGTCCCCACATCGCTACTCTGAATTTTGGCCAGATTGAAGGTGTAAGAGAAAGGCTGTGGAAATAGACGGGAGCCTGGCCATCTGGTCACAGTGCTGTTTGCTTGCTCTTAGGTTGGTCTGTTTATCTCTCAGTCACTAGATTATTTTCATGAAAGACTTAACCCTGGAGTTGGGTTCTTGTGATGGGCAGTCCTTAATCAGTGTAGTAGCTGGTGGTGGTAGTTTGTGGTAAAGCCCTTTGATCCCAGCACTTGGGAGGTTGAGGCAAGAGGATCAAGGGGTTCAAGTTACAGTTACACAGTGAGTTTGAGGTCAGCTTTGGCTACATGGAGACCCTGACACAGACACAAAACAACCCAAAGAAAACAGCACTTGGCTCCAGGTAGAGAAAAACCTAGTGTGGGTAGCTGATGCCGCCCTGTGGCTGCCTTTGGTTCTACACTCTCTCTGCCCTGTTGTTCACTCTAGCTGGGAAGGTGATGAAAATAAATGTAGGTCTCTCTTTAGGCCGTTCTCTGGTCCTTTTTTTCGTCATGGCTCCCATCCTTTCTGCTTACAACTAATCCTTGGTCCTCCTGGGCAAAAAGCAAGCCCTGTTCATGAGGGGCCATAGCATTGAACCCACAAACAGTCCCTGTGTTTCCTGGCAAATTTTGTCTTACAGCAAGCAGCCCGTGAAGAATAAAGACAGACTTGGGTGCACCGCTTGGAAGCAGCACACCTTTGTTTTCTGATGTCCATTGGGTGGCAGTGTGATCTTAGTTTTGTTTCTGTTTTTCTTTGCAGCCAAGCTCTTCTCCAGGAAGTGAAAATGTGGTGCCTCGAGAGCCGTTGGTAAGTACGAAAGGGGCAAGGGATCTTTTTCTAGTCACTGGAATGCTGTGTGAATGTAAAGAAGCCTGATGAACTATGGCTGTGACACCTTCAGGTGACACCTAAATAGCATCCCAGTATGTGTTCCCTAGAGATGCCTTGCCCCTGACCTCTGACTCTGTTTAGCAGAAGGGATTAGCAAGACCTCTTGGGTCTTTCTCTGGAACTGAGCATCTGCCCTGGCAGCCATGCAGCGCTTTGCTTGCTGCTGACGGTGGAACTAGAGTGACGTTTGAAGTTTTAGCTCGTCAGCTTCCAGTTTCGGAAACTGAAAGAGCCACTCTGCTTCTCAGTGAAGCACCTGGGTGCCCTTTAAGGAGCAGGTAAGAGGAGGGGCTCTGGTCTGCTCTGCTCAGTGATTCAGTTTGTGATAGGCATCACCTGTATTATCCTACCTAGACTCTGATAGGAAAGAGGCCTACTGAGTGCTGCATCACCCATGGTCTCCTAGACTCTGATAGGAAAGAGGCCTACTGAGTGCTGCATCACCCATGGTCTCCTAGACTCTGATAGGAAAGAGGCCTACTGAGTGCTGCATCACCCATGGTCTCCTAGACTCTGATAGGAAAGAGGCCTACTGAGTGCTGCATCACCCATGGTCTCCTAGACTCTGATAGGAAAGAGGCCTACTGAGTGCTGCATCACCCATGGTCTCCTAGACTCTGATAGGAAAGAGGCCTACTGAGTGCTGCATCACCCATGGTCTCCTAGACTCTGATAGGAAAGAGGCCTACTGGATGCTGAAGGGCTTTTCTTTTTCAAAAAAAAAAACCAAGGAGGGCCACGCTCTCTAGCCTAGTCTATCCTTGAACTCACTAAGTAGCCTAGGCTGGCCTCAAGCTCACAGCAGTTCTTCCATGGCCTCACAAGTGCTAGAGTAAGAAGGTGAATGCCACCACATCCAACTAAGTAACTCTTTTTGCAGAGTGTTTTTGCAGATTAGTGGTCTGAGCCAGAGTCCCTGCCTGCCTGCCCTGTTTTTGCTGTGTGGCATTTCAGGACTTGATGTAAATCCTGTGGGCTGAGTAGTAAGACCGGTTCTGTGCAAATCAGATCAGTTTTAGGGGTGCGCCGCCAGCGTTTGGCTTGACTTTGCCAGGCCTTTGCTCTCCTGGCGTGGTGGTAACTGGTGAGCACAGGCCCGGGGCCAGGCTTTGTCTCCGCAGCTGTGTAGTGCGGTCTCCCTGCTGTCTTCGCTCTTCTCTTGGCCGAGTTGGAAGGTGGAAGGGATGATGTGAAGTCCTTGGCTGGTATGAACAGGTCCAGGTTCTAGCATGTTCTGAGGCTTTCTAGGCAGAGGGTGAGATGATCTGGCTGTGCTACAGATAGGCCCAGAGGACACAAGTACCTCCGAGACTTCCAAGGGAGTGGCGATGTCATTCCTGCCACCTTCTGTCACCAGTTACGGCCTCACATATCAGCATCTCTCTCGTACCTCTTTTCACCCGCTTGGTGTTGCCTGCTTCTTCTGGGATGCTTCACCCTGCTAGGAAGGGTGTCCTCTGTGGTCTGCTTCAGGCCTTTCAGATGGAAGCTGTGATTTAGACTGAAGTCCAAACTGGACACAGTGCTCTTTTTTATCCCTTACTGCTATGGGTTTGTTTGAAACTTCCTGATTTGGCTCTCCATCCTAAGAAGTGAGGGCAGGCTGTCTTTTGGGGGCATGACTGAAAAAGCTCTTTGGAAGCTCAGAGAGGCTTATACTGGCTAACTCCTGGGTGTGGGGGCAGCCCCGCAGGCCTGTGCTGTGCAGGGTTCTGAATGTGGCTCCTTCCGCTGCACTGTGCATCTGCCTGTTGGTTGGTTATGTTCTTTCTTTTCTGGGAGCCCCTGAGCAGTCTTCAAACCCTGGTAGCCTGTGATCGTCCAGAGTTCAGACTCATTCTCTCCAGGCCAACTCTACAATTACCTTATATTTAATTAATATTTTTTCTCCTCTTTACGTACTTACTGCATAATTGCTCAGAGGAAAGAAAACACATAGCAGCAATTTATATATATATAAAAAAAACAATAATTAAAAAAAAACCCGAAATAAACTCCCATCTCATTTGGGCTGATCCTGTGAGTTGGGTAATTAGGGCCCTATTAAAAGGTAGACCCTTTCTCCTCCCCCCCCCCTTTTTTTTTTATTAATTTTTTTATATTAAACTCCCACAGTCTCTCAGTCATGCCCTTATTGCTTTTGGCCAGCCATTTGCAGCAGCCTGATTAAATGAGAGCACCAGCCGAGTTGTATGGTCTTGTGTGAACCACTTCTTCCTCTTGGGAGTGGTGGCTGGAGGCTGGCAGGCAGAGGAGCCCATGGAGGGCTAGCTTTTGGGGCAGGCCAGGGGCACAGGTTGAGTAACAGGAGAGCTCTTGGCTACTGTGGACTGGTGACTGGCTAGATGACCATCCCAGGGTGCTGGAGAAGTGGGTAGCTGCTAAGGCCCACAGCTCCGTGCACAGGGCTGGGCTTTGGAAGCTCGAAGTGCTCAGCTCCATCAGCAGGGAGGGAGGCTGTTCACGCCCAATGTGTTGGCTACATCCTGCGTGCTTAACTGCAGTACTGGAGGAGAGACAATTACAGAATCAAACAGGCCTTGTTTTTAAGTAATTCGTGTGTTTTATTTGGGGAAGAAAAGGCATTTGTGTACATGAAACAATTAGCAAAAAGGGAACACTGTATGTAATTTTAGGAAGAGCACAAAGTTGTGTATAATTTGGTGCAGAACTGTCTGGCTGGGAGTCGGAGAAGGGTGCCTTGTTTAGTGAAGGAGGAGGGTTGTTGAGTGGGAACTTAGAGATAGTTTCTGAGAGATCTGAAGCTAGGTCTTGAGGAATGTGATGACGATAATGTTATGTTTATTTTTAACTCATTGTAATTTCCCTCCTCAAGATAGGGTCTCACTGTGTAGCTCTGGCTATCCTGGAACTCATTAGTAGACAGGCTGGCCTTGAACTCAGAGATCCTCCTGCCTCTGCCTCCCTAGTGCTGGGATTAAAGGTGTGCACCATTATGCCTGGCTTGCTTATGAATCTTGTACAAAAGTCCTTATAATGGTTGTTTTCTGGGCTCTGCCCTGGAAGGATTAAGCACAAGATGCTGAAGGCAGATAATTGTATTTTGTTTTCCAGAACTAAATGATCATTAGGGCTGGGTTGTAGCTCAGTTGGTAGGATGCTTCCCTAGCTTTGGATGCTACCTGAAGCCTTGGGTTCCACCCCCAGCACTACATAAAACAGGAGAGGTGGTGTATAACTACAATCCTATCACATGGGAAGTGGAAGCAAGAGAATTGAAAGTTCAAGGTCATCCTTAGCTACATAAGAAGTTTGAAGCCAGCTTTGGCTAAATGATAACTTGTCTCACCAAACAGAACAAAAAACCAGAAAACAAACCACCACCAAGAAAAAACCTAGATGATCATTTAAAAAATGGATTTATTTTTATTTGGTGTGTGTGTGTGTGTGTGTGTGTGAATGTGGGCATGCATATGCTTCAGCACTACATGTGCTCTATCTATACATGTAGAAATCAGCTTTGGGAAGTTGGTCGTCCGTCC